CTCTCTCTCTCTCTCTCTCTCTCTCTCTCTCTCTCTCTCTCTCTCTCTCTCTCTTTCTCTCTCTCTGTAATAATATTATTTCTCTGAGCTACTGATAGTTAAAATAACATTCCAATTCGTTTGACGCACCGTGTACGGGTTTTGCGTCTGACCGAACTCATACTTCGAAACAGTTAAGAATCGCGCGTTGCACGTGCACGAAGCTAAGGAGTTCAGCCAGTATCGGCAGTCTGTCAACGAAAAAGCTTGGCGTTCGGATTAAGAAACAATTGCGAAACGTGCTATCTGGCTGTAGCAGTTAGCTGCCTGCTACGACTATACCTCCCACCACGCAGCCACGATCCGCGGAAATTCTTCATTCTGATTGGTGCATCTTAAATGCTTCCCATTTAAAAACTATTGCGAACACTTTGTATATACAGTGGGTCAAAAAAGTCTCCGTACATCAAGCATGAAAATTTGTAGACATGTATAATTTTTAAAATATAGCAGGTAATAAAATATATATATAATATTTTGAATTCTCTATGTACAACAGTGAAATGCAAAACAAGTTATTGACTATCTCACAGTTAGTTTATTATTAAATAAATATCAAAGATAAACTTAACGAAATCAGCACCAAATAAGTCTCCGTACATAGCAACAAAAATGTGTGTCAGTTATCGATTTTTTAAATTCTAGCCGTGATCAATGATCGGTTGGTCCTCCTTTAGCTTTTAAAACTTCCCTCATGCGTTTTTCCATTGTGTTAACTAATTTTTCTGTCACAGTATGTTCGATACTGTTCCATTCGTGTAATATTGCACTTTTCAATTCCTTTTTGTTTCGGATATCACGTTTTTTAAGCCGTCGTCCTATTTCATCCCATAAGTGTTCTATAGGATTCATATCTGGCGATTGTGGAGCCGTATGGAGTTGTTTAGGCACGTTATATAACAACCATTCCTTAACTTTTCGCGCCGTGTGTTTGGGATCGTTGTCTTGCTGGAATATAAAGGACTCCCCGAGATGTAATTTTCTTGCACTTTCATGTAAATTATCTTTAAGAATATTTAAATAAACATTTTGATCCATTTTGCAGTTAATAAATTCCAAATTTCCGACACCAGCTGCACTCATACAACCCCATACTAGTACTCCGCCTCCATCATGTTTCACGGTGGGGCACAAATTCTTACTATCCATCTGTTTATTTGGTTTCCTCCACACCATAACTCGTCCATCAGAACCAAAAACGTTAAATTTGCTCTCGTCACTAAATAATACCGAGTTCCAGAAACTAGAACGCTTATCCATGTGTGCCCTCGCGAACTCTATGCGTTTTGTCTTATTCACTTTACTGATAAAGGGCTTTTTCCTAGCTACACGGCCGTTATATCCAGTTTTTCTAATAATATTTCGAATTGTTTCAGGTACAACCTTCATATTGTATTCCGTTTCAATCATACCAGTCAATTTCGGTCCAATTATTTTCGGTTCATTTCTAATTGTTTTTAAAATGGCACGTTCATGATGTGATTCAACTTTCTTGGATTCACATATCACAAATCGCCTTCGATTTTGAATAGAACCGGTATTATTGTATTTACAGTATGTTTGACAAGAGCGTGTACGGCGAAACCCGAAGACTATTTGGAATAAGGTATTGAAAAAAAATACACACATACTACATAATATAAATCGTGATGCTTTATTATTAATAAGTTGTCCAGTCGCCTCCACTATTAATGATTGCCTGGCATCTCCGAGGTATACTTTCTACTAATTTCATAGGATAATCTGGCGAGAAAAACCTCCATATGGATCGAATCTGTCGAAATAACTACAAAGCATATTGGGTGAGGGGTTCCGCTACATGTTCGCGTTTCAATCTACGCTTCAACGGTTTCCACAAAAAAATTAAGCCGTACACGCTCTTATCAAACATACTGTATATATAATATAGTGCACCGTAGAATGTGATTTCTTTACTATTTGTGCAATTTTTCTGACCGAATACCCTTCTTTTCTTAATTTGATAATCAATTCACGAATTGGGTCTGGTACTTCCATATGACAGAGTAGTTTTAAACTGTATCGTTGCTTTCTGCTTGTTAGTATTACACTGACATAAAATTTCCTCTTAATACATCTTATCATCTTTGTTTGTTTATATTATCCTTACCATTCGCACAATGTACGGAGACTTATTTGGCGCTGATTTGACTAAGTTTATCTTTGATATTAATTTAATAATAAACTAACTATGAGATAGTTAATAACTTGTTTTGCATTTCACTGTTGTACATAGAGAATTCAAAAGAGTATATATATATTTTATTATCTACTATATTTTTATAATTATACACTACCGGTCAAAAGTTTAAGTTCACTTGCTTTATTTTTGAATTCTACACAATTAAGTCGGCTACTCAGTGAATTTTGTCAAGCACGTGCGTCTTACCTACAACAAGTCGATACACGCTACTGGTCAGAGTGTAGGAGGGAGTTTGGCGTGTTTGGGAGACGCGTAGATCGAGTACAAACTTGTCATGACAGGTTGCAATCTGTCGATGCGTCTAGTGCATATTACGCGTAACATCTTAGTGCTGCGAGAGCTCTTTCCAAAAGTTATATTTCCAATTGTTTTTCACATTTTTCTTTACAAAAAGATAAGTAGAACATTTTTCGAATTGAAAATCGTTACTGTTAAAAAAAATTACATTTAAATTGACGTAATTCGACAAATATCATCTCATTATTGAAATGCGAAGAAAACTACATAATTTATGTGC